AGTGTACGTCAAGTGGCTGGGATTCGATGGATCGCACAATTCATGGATATACAAAAACAATGTTATTTGATAAATTTTTAATTCATATATTTTATATACGTATAACAATATAAGAATATAAACGTGTAAAATATTTTTTTATTATCCTTTCCATTTTTAGAGTATACAGATATAAAATACGTATATAAATGTACGATACATATGTAATGAAAAATAACAGTAATACATAATAAATGATACTATATAAAACATAATAGTAATACTTACGAGGGCGGTCCGATAAGTACTTAGCCTACAAAAGAAAAACGAAAATTTTGGAAAAGTGGCGATTTATTTCTCAACATAGTCTCCTTTTAGCTCGATACACTTGACCCAGCGATGCTCCAACTTCTTTAACCCGTCTGAAAAATACGTTTTCTCGAGGTCTGCAAAGTAGGCCTCCGTGGCGGCGATGACCTCCTCATTCGACTCAAATTTCTGCCCGGTGAGTGACTTTTTTAAGTTTGGAAACAAAAAGAAGTTGCACGGGGCCAAATCTGGAAAATACGGTGGATGGGGCAGCAGAAATCGCTGCGCGATTTCCCTTCCAAAAACAAGAATCGAATCACCGACCGATATTGCTCTTTTTCCATTTTTCTAAAATCCGCGGACACGCCCGCTTCCACACGCGGTCAAAACTACAAGTCCGATTCGGCTGAAATTTTGACAGTAGCCATCTACGAGAATGTACTACACGATAGTAAATTTCTCTTGAGATAGTGGCGCCATTGGGCGGTGAGGCTAAGTACTTATCGAACCGCCCTCGTATATACAGCGTAAAAACATAATGCGTAAATTATAATGATAATACATAATAGTAACAGGTATGTAGATTGTACGAAAATATTTTTAAAAAATATATAAAAAGACATACACAAAGTAAGATAAAAGATAATATTATACATGTACTCTGTATGAAAATATAAAAAAATGTAAAAACATAACAGTAATATAAATGTTGATATGTACATATATTACGAAGGTATCCGCCAATGTCCCCACGGTAATGTTTCCATCGAATTCGATACGACGTATCGTTTGTCATCGTATGGACTCAGAGCGATTTTCGATTCGGATATCGTGTATACCTCGTGCAGTTTCGATTGTATACACGATTGACGACGAGTCATTTCGATCTCTTCGTTCAAACATCGAGTGTAATCGTCGAACGTTATCGTTTGCGCTACGTTACTCTTACGTCTTTCACCTTTTTAGTGTCCTTCTTGCCGTCCACCCTCACAGCGTCACTTCGCTCTGAGAATGAATTCGATCATTATCGTACCGTTATTTTCGTCCTTCATCAGACCGGGTACTTTTTTGTTCGCGAGAGGCATACCGTACGCGTTGTCCGTCGGATAATCGCTCGTGTCGAATCTAGCGATATCGCGTTTCATAGTCTCGTAAACGTCCTCGCACTCAACGCGGTATATAAGGCTGTCTGTATCGGTGTACATTATTTTACATTTGTCGCGAAACAGTGGTAACATATACTCGTGGTGAAATTCGTACAAGCAGACTTTCGATATGTCGAGTATACACATACCCACGTAAATCGGTTTGTCGAACTTCACTTCGAGTTTGCGCAGTTCGACGGCTATTCAATTTTCCGCAAAGACGCTACGGCTGTGGAAATTTGGTTTTGCAATCATTGCCTCCGCACCGTACCGTCCATCCCATTTTGTTAATAATTTTACGTCAACGTGGTTGCGCACATTCTCCATAGTTTTACCGAATACCGCGTTGTTCATTAATTTATACAAATTTTTTTCGAAATCGTTTTTCGCGCGCGTTCTGAAATTTGTATTAAGTTTGATGTAATCGCGAAGCCATGGAGATTGCGTGAATTGTAGCACCCGGTAGATCTTTGTTATGCGAAGATCGTGACGAGTACATTGCTGCAGGTTGCGATAGTGGGTGAACAGCGTAACGCTGTTTATCGTACAGCGTCGCTAAAAGTTTATGTTTGCGCTTGCCGGGCGGCTTATCGCGCGTCGGACAGAACGGTAGGTCAGTGTGTCGGTGTATATGCTGCGGATACTCGAGATCGACTTCGAGAATGTAACCGGTGGGCGAATCCAGAACGATCGCGCTCGCGTCAAAGTTCGCAGCGTCTTCGACCCAGTGAAATTTGGCGTATGGCAATGGTTGTCACATTGCCCATCCGTATAAATTGTTAACGTCGTAGTACATCAAGTACGACGACGGTTCCGATGGGTCGTACGAATGCATGTACTTGTTATTAGTCTGAGCGTATCTGCCTGAACATTGACTGAGACCACTGCGTATATACCGCGCTCGATGAACATGATCATGTCAATACGAGGGTCGTTCGAAAAGTCCGTGCAAAGTCACTGCTGATGGCACTACTGGCGCGTATCAAGGTTAGATTTAGTTAGTAGCATCTCTTGGAGGAACACACACCAAGTTACAGCCAGATCGGTCTATTTGTTTGTGTTTGGCATTCATTTGAATCGAGAAAGTCGAGGGGGGTTTGTTTCTGCAATCACATCCTCGTTTCCATAAAATCTTTTTCCCGCCAGCCATTTCTTCATATTTTTTTTCTTAATATCCTTGAAATATCAATAGTCTCACAAATTCGAATAGAATTACACCAGTTTACTATTAATTATTAGGATTTACTTCTAGGAAATATTAAAATAAACTTAGAATTTTAAAAGAATTTATTTTTTTTGTCTTTCAAAATTATGGATTTTTATTTGATTCTGTTGGTACTCTTCAATTCTATCTCTTCCTGACAAAATTTTGTTTTTGATCATTTTTTCTTGATAATTTAACAGCTTGATTATTAAATCGATTATACATGTATATTTACATATATAAATGAGTGCATTCAGAAGCATGACCGTTCACTAACTCAAGCGCTCAGTGAGCTCTTGCATCTAATTGGCACATTCCGTTAGATCTAAAAATATAGACCAAACAGATACAAAAGTTCACTGAGCGCTCAGTCTTTAATAGTATCTCGTCGGTAATATATGTAACAAAACATCTTACAATCTCTACTAAAAAAATTATATATAGACTTATTGGACTGTGTTTGGAAATTTATCTGGATGCATCCATATATTATTTATCCTCGTTTAACATTCGGTGAACAAGGATAAAATGATACATAGATGCACTCGAGTGAAGACAACCTGGATATCGCGGATCGCTTTGATGTACAAGAGCCATTAAGCGAACATAACCTATGAAACGAAGAGGTAGAAGATTTGAATGATATATGGATGAAACGTGTAATTATTAATGTAATATTTAATATTATTAGAGAAGAACGAGATCGCGCAAGGAAGTTTAAATCTGTTTTAAATCGAAAACATGGGTGAACGCTACAACATCCATAGCCAGTTGGAGCATCTACAATCCAAATACATTGGTACGGGACATGCAGACACAACCAAGTTCGAATGGCTGGTGAATCAGCACAGGGATTCCTGTAGTTCGTATATGGGCCACTACGATTTGTTAAATTTCTTTGCGATTGCCGAGAACGAAGCCAAGGCACGAGTTAGATTCAATCTTATGGAGAAGATGCTGCAACCCTGTGGACCACCGCCTGAGAAGCCAGAAGATTAAATCGCGCGTTTTTACTTGAACATTTTTCTTGTGTAATAAAAACTTTTAATTCCCGAAAATAGAAATAATATAAACTTTTTGTTTTTTATCAGATGTTTCAAGAAAAATTAATAAACTTAAGTGGATTTTGTTAGATCAACATTACTTGTGACTGTATTATAATTTTATTTTGCATAATTGCCATATAACCTTAATTGTGCTTGCGTTCACAGAGATCTATATATATAGAACACGTGTTTGTTTTTGTAATCTTACATTATTATAAAGAAATTATCTTATAACTTTATTGGTAGCCTAAGAAAATTAATTGAGATGCCTCCATTTCCACAATGTTCCACAAAGTGTGGAAAAAATGCTATTTTAAAGGTAAATTAGAGAGTTTTTCAGATTTATGTTAGATCTAAAAATTGCTATATTATTGCATTATTAAATTAAAAGAATATGTATGCAATTTTAGAGGCCAAAAACTGGTGATACATTGTGTAAAGAATGTTTTTTCTTGGCATTTGAGACCGAGATTCATGATACTATCATCAATGGTAAATTATTCAAGCCTGGTGATAAAGTTGCTATTGGAGCATCAGGTGGAAAAGATTCCACTGTACTAGCATATGTCTTAAAAACTCTGAATGAAAGATACAAGTATGAATTAGATCTGTTTCTTTTATCTATCGATGAAGGAATTACTGGTAAGCTATAAAAATGATATCTTTATATTAAAGCTTTATATTGTACATAAAAAATATAATTTTCTTTTAAAATATATCTTTTTAGGATACAGGGATGATAGCTTGAAAACTGTGACGCGGAATAAAGATGATTATGGTATTCCACTTAAAATTTTATCATATGAGGAATTGTATGGATGGACAATGGATTCTATAGTTGCAGAGGTAAATTATATCAAATATTTAAACTACAGCTAAAAGTTACTGAACAAGAACCTGTCTTTAGTTCAGTACTTAAATGTAATAATTTAAGGATCTGTCAATTAAATGCCTTACATAAAGATATGCAGTCATGAATCAAGTTGGTGTGAGATTTAACCATATTTTTTGATAACTTCGAATACATGTATAACAAAATATATTTTTTAGATCGGCCGTAAAAATAATTGTACATTTTGTGGTGTTTTCCGAAGACAAGCATTGGACAGAGGTGCTGCAATTTTGAAAGTAGATTGCATCGCAACAGGTCATAATGCAGATGATATCGCTGAAACAGTATTAATGAATATCTTAAGAGGTGATATTGCCCGACTACAGAGATGTACATCTGTAATTACTGTAAGAATATCATATATGAAATGTTGATAAAATTACAACAAATTTCTTTGATATCTATATTCTTATGTAATATAGACTGGTGCAGATTCTATCATGCGGTGTAAACCTCTAAAATATGCATATGAAAAAGAGATTGTCATGTATGCATATTTTAAAAATTTAGTATACTTCTCTACAGAATGTATATATGCTCCAAATGCTTATAGAGGTCACGCAAGAGCCTTTTTAAAGGATTTAGAAAAAATAAGGCCGTCAGCTATCATAGACATAATACATTCAGGTAACAATATCTTTTTTTTAATTTCCTATAATATTAATATTTATCTGTCATGCAATTTGAAATTTAGAAAAATAGTGAATAATTTTCAAAAATGGCCAATGCCCAATTATTATGAACTTTGACAGAAATACTTGAAATGATGTTAATTAAATGTTCTTAAAAAGATTTCTATCGATAAAAACGCCGAAGTTTAATGCTAAAAATAAATAAAAAGGTAAATATGTTGATTAGAGGAGTCATTCTTAATTACTTTGACACATGTTGTTAATGTTATGACTGTGAACATTTTTTCAAATTTTTTAGTCATCGATAGAGCGCATATTATGTATGATCACTTTATCCTTGTTTATTATTCGAGGAACAATAAAGATAAAATTAGGGAATAGAAGTATGTTACTTGTGTAACGCCTTATTTTTTTATCGTTATTTTGTTATAATAATGATTTGGTTATGACGTTGCAAATTTTTTTTTATGGCGGCAATGGCAATAGTGGTAGAGTAGAAAAGTGAATTGTTACTTCTAATGGACTGAAAAAATAATTCATATTTGTAACGAATAAAGTAACATATCGATGCGTCACAAGTAACAAATTACTTTTTTCAGTAAATAACACATAATGACAAGTTACTTTTAGAAGTAATTTTCCCAATCTTAGTGCAACCTTAGCGGTTAGTTAATTATTGTCAGTCAAAAAATTGCACCGTCATTATCAAATCATTATTATAAAAAGTAACTGTGTCACTATACTTCCATTCTCAGGATAAATGATATATATCATGCATTTTACAGAATACAATCAATATGTTTTATACATTATAATATCCTATCCCCTATTTATAATTTTCTTTAAACATTTTGGCATTAAATTTTATTGGTAGAAATTAGAAATCCGTTTAAGGGTTATTCATTTGAAATAAAAATTATTTCTGCTTAAATTCATGGCAATTGGACGTAGGTCGTTTTCGGATGATGAGCCAAAATAGTTAATATTATTTACTAGGTGAGCAGTTACAAGTGAAAGCTAATGTAAAAATGCCAGAGAGAAGAAATTGTACTTTATGTGGATTTGTCTCAAGTCAAGAAATATGCAAAGCATGTGTTTTGTTGGAAGGTTTGAATAGAGGACTGCCAAAACTCGGTATTGGTAAATCTAGTAAAGCTAAAAAGATAATGAACTTATATATGGATAAAAGAAACAAGCTGCAAAATATAGATTTTTAAGGTTCTTATACAACTAACTTATATATAACTGTCTAAATATGTAACATGTGCACCTAAAATATATTTTTATGAACATAAATTTTCCACACATATTTTTTTCAATTATTATTGGAAAAAATTTTGCTATCTTTTTCATTTAAAGATTAAAGGACCTTTTCTGTAACTCTTAACAACTATAACTATATAGTTATAATGTAAATATACTTTTAAACAAAAAAGTCATAAATACATAGTTTTATGAAACAGGTCTGATAACAAAATATAACTTGTACATATATCCAAGGTTCATTAAACATATATATTAAAAATCACATGATCAGAAAATAGTTTGGTACTCTTTATAATAATTGTAATTAATGTACTTATATATTATTTTTGTAAATTAAATTTTCATTTATAAATAATAAAACTTACACATCTATCACATAAAGGAGATAGGATCGGAATAGTATTAGTTTAATCAATCATCGTTTTCACACTCTTGTACAATAAAAATATTTTTGCTATATAAAAAAAGTGATATTCACACACATATCAAGATGAAATTTATACTATATATGCGGCCGCTTTTTGAATAATTTGTGTTCTGCAAATAGGACAATTATTATTGATGCTAACTGAGCAATCTTCGCATATGCATACATGACCACAAGGTAATAGAATAATTTCACGTGCGTTTGTCCTGCAAATTACACATATTTGATCCTCTCTAAGATCTCTATCTCTGACCCTTTGACGCCTTTCTTGACGAGATGTTTCGAGCGATTGACGTAATTGATCTGCTAATCTTTGCTGCTGTTTATTCTTCCAATAGCGTCTTATCATAATTCCTCCGAGGACTAATCCAATTGTGCCGCTCATCAAACAAAATAGCCTATGTGTTTCAGAAGATTATATAAGTTCAGACTTAATAATATAATAAATAATATATTCCAATTAAATACTGTATAATAAGATCCCAATACACTAAATACGTGCCTGTATATTTTTTTATGATCATCTAATTTCCGCATCAAAGAAGTAATTGACATGCTTGTTATATAAAAAGGAGATCCGTTTAATGGAAGTTGCAAAATAAGATAATTGGATTCAGTTTTCGACTTCGAGAGCTCACCTATTGCTGTAATAATTGAATCTTCACGCAACATTTTTTCTGTAGACTGTATACCTCGTTGGCGTACTCCTAATAAATCATATGATAAATTCAAGTTTAAGAACTTTATGCATGCGCAACACACGCACACACATTTTTTTACAAGAGTGTAATGATATATGTAATAAAGATAAGAACTATTCTATAGAACTATTCTAAGATTCTATTATGTAATAAAGATAAGAACTAATTCGAGTACAAGTTTTATTATAATTACCCGTAAAAAATCCCCATATATGATCTACAATTGTAGGTACACTAGGTTGAAAATCATCGGAGATTACATCCAAGTCTAAAATATCAGCAGACAATGGATCTGTTATCTCAACACGGTACCATCTATTTTGCAAAACGAATGGAACAACATTATATACTTGCTGAATTGTTCGTTCCTGGTCAGACCTATGGAATTACAAATTAGATAATTAGAAAGAAATATAATATTGATATTTATATTACAACCACAATTGTTCGTAAAGTTGCGATATTCAATAACCTACCAATAACCAGCTGATGTTCTTGCGACAACATGTTCTCTGACACTAAGCTTCTGTATGACTCCGGTAACATCTTTTTTATTAACGCTTCGTAATGATTCTTTTAATGGTTTCACGACTCCTCTGACAGCGATATAATCTACTTTGTTATTCAGGCTCTCATCTAATAGACTTTCCAAATCTGGGCCAACGTTGTGTAGCTCGACATTCTACAAAAAATAAGTTTTTAAATTGCCTGTAATATTTTAAAATATTCTAATTTATATTAATATGTTTTAGAACTTTAAACAATGAATTAATATTGTTTACCTTAATCGCCTTAATCGCATTCTTGTAGTGAAAATACTGTTTCAAACAGATAGTAAATACGAGCGTGTCAACTCCAAGCAAAAATATTTCGCTAAAGTACTCCATGATTAAATTATATTCTTGAAAGTATATTATCGTCCATCTTTACATTGTTCCAATCTGCATCAATTCATTTGGATTAAGGTTACACACAGGACATGACTCTCAATCCTCAATCCGAGTTCAATTCGGCCAGTAATAACCAATAATCCATTTAATATTTGTTAAAATATTTGTTAAGAGTGAACAAAAAAAGAAGATTACTTTCGTCAGAAATTTTCAGAAA